TACAAAATGGCGACTCAGTTATGACGTAATAGCACCTGAAAGTGATGACGTAATGCAATTAATATTCTTTTCTGTACGAATAAGCATTTATTTACGTGAATAATAAGAAATTTTACAATATTTAAATATTACAAATTAGAATTGTAGTTTTGAAATTATAAAATTTTAACATGAACTATACTAGAAAACTTTTTACAAATTATTCAATCTTAACATATTAATAACAGTATATTTAATGAAAATTGTTGTATATCTAATGAACGTAATTTTATTTTTGGGGCTGAAGTGTGAAGTGTTGCATAAGTATTCTATCGCCACTTCCTTATACATCAAACAGCCTGCCTATTTTTCATTATTTCATTCTATCGCCAGTTCATTGCATCAAATGCCAGGATACAGATTATGCACATATGACATACTGCCCCAAATTTTGGAAGTTTTCTAAAACAAATTCAAACATAATGTGATTTACTGTATATAATATAATATATATATACAGCTACCATATGTGTAGCTACCTACATGTTCAGTGTACAAATCTCCATCATCTTAAAGTCGCTTTTACACATACATTTTTAACACTGACTGATTTCATTCTATCGCCAGTTCAATACATCAAATGCGAGGATACAGGATATTCATATATGATGTACTTCTTGGAAGTTTTCTAAAACAATTTGAAACATAATGTGTTTTATTGAATCTAATAATATATATACCACTCCATATGTGTAGCAACTTACATATTCAGGAGACAAATCTAAATCGTTTTCGAGTCGCTTTTGCACATACATTTTTTTTAACCTGATTGAATTCATTATATCTTCAGTTCATTATACATCAATACATCAATCAAGTTCATGCATATATGACATACTGTTCCCAATTTTAGAGGTTTTCTAAAACAATTATAAATATAATGTATTTGTTACCAAATAATATATATACAGCAACTATATATGAATCAACTTACATATTAAGAAGATAAATCTCCATTATCTTCAAGTTGCTCCTAAACATACATTATTTGAGCCTGTCTAAAGATCTGTATATTGTTCATCGTTTCATTCCAATTTTGTACGACTTCTGAAATAAATATGAACATGGCATACGTGTTTGCTGTTTATATATATTTGTATAGCTATTATATTTGTAGTGACTTACATATTCAAACAATCATTCTCGATCCGCTTCTCAACCGACTAATTTAAGAGATTTAAGAAGTGAGGTTATGTCGAACACATGGATATGTTAATGTCTTAATTTAGTAAAATAATTATTTTAACCTTGATAAACGATCCTTATTATTGTCCTCAGATTTTGTAAGATATGCTATTTGGTTACCTCCTTTGTCATCTAAAGAAATCGACATAAAATAACGTTTCTTCATCCCAGGATATAATGCACTAAATGGAATTCAAAATCGTGAAGTAATTACATATCTATATAAATAATATATGATATACTTACAGTGTCATTTTTCTACACTTTTCTACAATTATCACTATGAACAAGTTGCTTAACTAAACGAATGTAATTATTATACTAAAGAAAATATAACTTGATGCATGATAAATTCGTGACATTTTGCGCCATTTTGTACGCGGGTTAGGTTAACTTTCGTCAAAGAAACAGTCGGTTCCATCAGTGGCCACGGCGCGCTGATGTAAAGCTTTCTTTGTATGGTCACACACACCAGCACACAACGCACACAACGCAGCGCACGACGCGTTTGCTTCACGCCGTGTGACGTCATTGATTATGCTTTGCATGTGTGCTAACACACACCAGCGCACGACATGTATCTCACATGAAATTCAACGATGTCATTACCCCCGACAGCGCGTGTTTATGTCTCGTGAGACAACTCAATGCGAGCTTTGCGTGTATTGTAACACACACAAGCGCACGCAAGTTTAAAATCCTCTTGTGGCGTAGATTCGATAACCGCATTATAATAACGATGTCGATATTATAGAAGATCACATCGCGTGTTTACTGGGTAGGGCTCTTTTATAAGAAAGGCAAGGCTCCTCTAAATTTCAGAATTGTATTAAACTTTGGAGGCTTCTTAAATATATATGGAAAAGCATAAATAGACTAGACTTTACATTTTTTAGGAACGCCACTGAGTTAATGAACGAAATCCAATTGCGTGCAAGATGATAAAATAAGTTAATTTAATGCAGCAGTTTTTTGAATATTCAAGATAATATCAAGAGCCATTTAGCATGACTGGATTATCGCAAAGAATGTGGCTGAAAAGACAAATCTTACTTGGATGATTATTAGTTAATAAGTAATGCACAGACACTATAATTTAACACCATGTTTTTGTGTTCACAACATTATTGGTAGTGAATAATGAATGATTATCCACTTGAAGGAGGAATCTGTAATTCGTTAAACTTTTTATTTTTCCTTTTTTTTAAATAAATATGTTTGTTGCAACATATTGCTATTTACTTTGATATCTATTTTAATATATGTATTATTGTTTGGTATGTTTTGTTATTGTATAACAATGTCAATATAAGACTATTGTAATGCAAAATTTAAATACAAATAAATTATTTTTAAAATTGACAATTTTCTTTTATTTCTAATTTTGGCGCTTTAATTTGAATGCATTTTGGAGCACGAGGCTGCCGAGCGACATGCGATTAAAGCGCCATCACCCAATATTGCGGTCGTGACTTTCCCTAGCTCTCTGAACGCAAATACCGCGAGAGAGAAACGTCTATATTAGTATATTGTCTAGGATCATCTATTGTATATTAAAAATCAATCAATTGTTTTTTGTGTTTGATTTCTCCAATGCCACCTAATTTCATCCATTTCATATATCGATAAATTTGTCCCTGTCTCTGCAATATCCGACTAAATGTTAGAAAAAATCATTGAAAAATGAAATGACTATTTAAGGCCAAATTCTCCGGTAAAATAGACCGTAGCATAGCGTTGTTATGGCAACCCATTTGAAATGTAACGTTTAGCTAAGCCTTACGCAATTACTTAATTTTCAAGTAAAATGAAATTTACATAAATGTCTTTCATTTGAATCTTTGGGTAACTTTCATCATATTTCTCTAGATCTTGATTTGGTTTGCGGATAATAATAGCAGACTCATCTGATATTCTAGGTAAAACTGTAGCAAAACTTTGAATAAAAGAATTATTGAAGTCTTGAAAGCTAAAGTTGCCTCAGATGACTGCACAGCAGTAACATTCGTTAGAAGATTCTTTAAAAAATTCATCACACTCAGCCTTGGTTGGATATAACAGTCACAGCCTTTCTTTCGCATTTTTCTTGTACCAGATACCAATACCAAAAAATACCAGATACCCATTTTCTACCTACATCTCTATCTCTAGTCGTACTCGTAAAATTAATAGTTAAACTAAATAGATAAAACTTTGAAGCTCCCTGAATTGCTGGTAAAAACAACTAACAGTTGAAACACAGATATCACAACATATCTTGTAGGAAAAGGTCCACAACATAAATAGTTTGTAGAAATAATTAGCCAAATATGAAATAGATATAACAAATATGGAATTCTAACCAATTTTTTTAACATAAACGAAAAAATTTCATTACAGGAGTATTATTTGTCGTCATTGTTCATATGTCTAAATAGCCACTTTATTTAATCAATGTGAAATAAATATGGTAATATTTTTTACAAAGATCACATTGTTTATAACCTTGATATGGTATTTCAAAAGACGTATTTATAAGCAGAGATGGAATAAGGTGGCGTCCATTAATCACGTGGGGAGAGAGGGGTATAGTAACATATCACGTGTATTTATTTCTTACCTGATTTTTTAAAAAAATCCAAGCATTAAAAAAAATCAAAAAAATTTACAATTTTTTTTGTAACTAAAAATACACGTAATGTTTGGTGGGGGAGGCGGGGGTGTAATTTTGAATATTACCATGTTTCACCAAGGGGGAAGGGGGGTCCAAAATCCTTTAAAAGTCGGTCACGTGAATAATGGAGTTTGGTAATACATGGTGATATTCAAAATTACCCCCCCCCCCCATTCCCCCGCCAAACATCACGTGTATTTTTATTTACGAGAATATATTGTGAATTTTTTGATTTTTTAAAAAAAAAAATTAAATAATGCTGCGTCAAAATCTATATTTCTTAAATTCTCGAAAAATAAAACTCCTTTTTTGTCTTCATCTCCATCACGTCGGGGTCACCAATGTGGGAGTAGTAATTAATATGAAAGTATAAACTCCACTTGTATAAAAATAAATAAAATTTATTGACTATAAAAATATTACGATATCAAAAAGACAAGTCCAATTGTTTTTTCTCTCATGACTAGCCTGCTTGATTCTCACAAAATATTGAACTTTTAAGAAAAATAGTTAAAAAATAAAGACACGTGATATCTTACTATACCCTTTCCTTCCACACGTGATATTTTGTGATTTTTTGTCAAACTCCCCTTCACCCTAAAAACACTATTGTTTAAATAATTTTAAAAATCACCCTTTTGAAATGTGTATGATTTTTAATTGAGTTGATTCTGAGGACTTACTTCAAAAACTTTTATTGACTTGGTTTATATAGCCAACAAGATTTGTAGGCAGCTTTTTACAAAATGTTACTTCATCACCAACCTCATCCATGAACATATCTTGTAAGAAAAGGGTCAGAACATTCTAGTTATAAATTTTCTTCAGTTAGTTTCAACTAAAGATACCACGTATGTTTAAGAAAATACAAAATGGTTCATTTCAAAATAGTATTTTATAATGAAGTACCCTACTGTATCAAAATGAAGTAACAATCATCATCACTAATTATGATATGGCAGCCTGGTATGTATAAAATGATTCAGATTCAATGTGTGGGATATAGAAAAACTATTTTTCATTGATAATCTTTAATATTAATAAATAATTTTAATTTTATTAAATAACTTGACTCCATATTTGGCTAATTGTTTTACTTTAAAGACAATTTAGGAAAAATTCATCAGTTATCACTTGCAACCGATATTTTACCATTCTCATCCGATATCTTATGATTAGTAAACGTTGTTTCAAAAGTTGAATGTTTCATAAAAGATTCCCGTCCATCCCTACGCCTATACAAAGATATGGTGCACACTGAGGTTTGTGTAGGTTTTCTTTGCAATTGTTTTTTACCTAAACAAAAGTTATTCAATTCCTTCCTGTATCTCGGATGTAATATGGCATAAATAAATGGATCCACACAACTCGCTGTCTTGCAAAATAAAGCTGGAATCATTGACCCTAGTGGACTGATAAGATGTCCATACCCAAAAACACCAAGTAATGCTACAATCGCATAAGGCGTCCAAGCCAGGAACCAGACGCTGATTATCACTATTATGATTATAGCTATTTTAACTTCAGCACCTCTGGCTTTATCCATTCTACGGTTAACCACAAAATTGAACTCCTTCGCCTGTTTTACCACAATCAATATTTTAATATATGAAACCATAATAACTATAAAAGGTATGACCCAGGCGGCTACAAAAAATACTAAAATGAACAACTTTGCATCCATGGTATCAGTCAGATAATCGAAACTACAGCTAGTGAGGTATCCTTCGGGAACATATGATCCAAGTTTGGAATCAGATAGTGGGATTGAAGCAAAAATTAGGCTGTAGAGCCAAATGTAAATCACAGCCCTTCGAGAGTGGGAACGTGACACATTGCTTATAGGTTGTAGAGGATTTGCAATGATCCTTTGGCGATCGTAGGCAATTGCGGACAAGGTGCAGATTGAGGCTGTTCCGGTGAGGCCGCCTACGAATCCATATAGTCTGCAACCTGAAAAGTAAAAGTAAAATGTGAATAAAATAACATAATTTTTATTAAAATCGACAATATTTTAAAATTTGACATTAGTTTGAAGTTTAACGAATCTATTTTTTGAAGTAAAACTTCTTAAGGCGCGACTGGGGTGTAAATCCGTACAAATGCAACAGAAATTGCGTTACGCTCGAACTGTACGTCATTCGCTCTCGATGAAATCATTTCAATATGGGTCGATTATGATTAGTCGTCGTGTATAGAGATCTGTCGTGGTGTGCGCACTGGCATCAACGTTGTATGCGTACCGATATCAACAAGTAAATCGCCCTAGATAAGTAAACATTTTAAAGTTACATCGTAGTACAAATTTTGATTTAAATTCTTGAAAATGATAAAACAAACTAAACATTTGTGCCGTGTACTAAACGTAAGATTATTGATTAGAAATTATTTCTACACTATTCGTAGTCTCTATATTGAAGTTATTAAAATGAAAAATATTTTTTAGGCAAGACAGATATTACAGCTGTTCATACAATGAAATTATATAGTCAGCAAAAAAGTAAAAAAAATACAAGCAGTGTATGAATGTATGTTAATTTTAATTACATGAAGTTCTTCAAACACAATTTTTAGATGATGAGTGAAGTTGCGAAAACAATATTTATTTAGGCGTTGTTTAACATAATCCACTGTGTAAACGAATATTATAGAAGGTATTAATCAGCAATTACTTTATTTCTCCAATGAAGGTTCATTTCTAAATGCTAATTACAATGACAAACCGATCATGTCATATTTGAAGTATGACTTTAATTACATTATTGTGTTTAAATATCACACATATTTTTAATGCTATTATAAATATATAATTTTTAATTTATAATATTAATTTATATTATATAAATGTGTAAAATGGTTGACACTGATAAAATGTGTGCATCACGAATGTTACCATATTACTACATAATAAACATTATTCAGAATTGTTATATGATGTATTTAATTTACTTAAATGCCATCTTGTACAGTAGCAAATAAGTTTTACTTCGATCGTTTTTTTTAATTAAAATTTGCCATACTAGAATATTCAGTAACTGTTCTGACTTCATTATATGGATTTTGTTGACGTTGGCGAAGTATTTATTGACATTTTTATCGAATATATGCAGATATACCCACGAGATGCGTTTTTCTTTTGATGCTTTATTTGAGATCTATAATATCACGTGAAAATTTGACATTAATGCTGCCTGATGCCTGGCTTTGGTGGTTTCGAAAATCGAACCAGCGAACCCAGAACAGGTTTGTGCTAGCCCACGAATCCAAAAATGAGAGTTGCCTTTGAATGTTTATTTGTATCTTTAAAATCGCTTTACCCACTCTTTTAAAATCGTCTTAAAGCATTGTTAATACGAATCCAAAGTTTTCCGAAACTTCCAAAACAGTTCAGTTGTTCTCTTAATATTATGGTACTAGCAAACCGGGCGAACTCCTTTTCACCACCAGATTAAGAGAAAAAATTGCCTGCTGTTGAAATTGAATAAAAATTTGCACAATACACGTGATTGATTAGATGGTGTCCAATTGAAATGTTAGGAAACGAATAACTTATTTTTTATTACTTTTTTGCACAATTTCACAGTGAACACAATGCCGGTTTGTCACATGAAATTAATTGAGCAGAAAACAATGAATAGCTGTCAAACAAATGAGTAGCAGTCAAACAAAAAATATTAGTTTGTAGTACATGCTAAGCATCAGAGATGACGCTGTATGTGAAAAAAGAAAAAGTGTTTTCCGCTTTTTTGTTAAAATCTTTCTTCAATTTTCTTTGCTATAAACCTCACGGAGTCCGAGACCTTTCCAACAAATGCAAAATCGTCGAAATCGGTTCGTGCGTTTAGGAGTCGTATCGTCAGGAAGGAAAACCCGACTTATTTTTATATAATAGATAATTTATCAAAGTTACATAGTTTAACGTAAATACACAACCCGTCATCCAATTTATGCAAATCAATTTACTAGTTATATAAAAATAGTATACAGCAGATTGTTGCTAACAATGAAATTTGATATAAAATTTTTATATGTAACACAATATAATAATATCATATGTATTAAGCAAATCAATGTCATTTATCTTACCTATGCTTCCTAGTGCAGGTCCCTGTAGAATACTGTTGTAAATAAAGATTGGCATTTTCGACATCATGAGAAAATCACTCACAGCCAAATTTACTACCAGAATATTGGAAGGAGTTCGTAAAGATCGGCATCTGCAAAAAGACCAAATCTTAGGTGTTTTTATATGTATTCCATATAACAAAATATATTTGTCTAATATAATAAGAATTTTTTTTTTGTAAATTAGGAATAACACTGATATGAGTGATATGATATTTAGAGATGTAATCAGAGACATAGGACATAGAATCAAAATACTTTTCTTTATGAGAGTCACAATAAAATTATCACGAAACGCTAATGAACTTTATTTAATAAATAATTAATATATATATATATATATACTACTAACTAATAATAATATATAATAATTATAATATATTTTTTACACTCGAATTTTTCGAAGTCGTATTAAAAAAGCGCAAATACGCAAAAAAATTTTTGGCAAAACCTCAATATCTGTTTCTTTTAAGTAGAACAATTTTAAAAAATAAGCTTTATGATTAATTATTAATATTAATATTCGAGATCAAGTTGTAAGCCTTTTATAGCAATTAAAAAACTCCTGAAGCGTTTTCTAATTAAAGTTGCATAATGTTACTTATTTCGCAATTGTTAATTGGTAAAAGTTGTGTGGGTGGTGTCACCAGTTTTGAGTTCAAACTTGGAAAACTTTGCAACTTATGTCGTACCTGTGCAAAAACCATCACTCATAGAGTATTTTTCATAAAAGCATATAAATAATGAATAAATGCAATATTCAAAAGTTTTTGCTCAAAAGAAGAAATATCAAAAAGTTGTAACTTAATAACGGATTAAACTTTATGCGCAGAGTTATCTACCAATCTTAGCACCTAAAGTTAATCATTTTAAAAGTGTATTTTTTGCTTTATTCTTAGAGATTATTGAAGTAAAATTTCTTTAAGCGCGACTAGAATGTAAATCTGTACAAATGCAACGGAAAAGGCGTTACGGCCGAGTCGAGTGCCAATGATTCGTCATTCGCTCTCGATGATATCATTTCTATACGGGTCGATTGTGATTGGTCGTCGGGTCGCGTGAGTAAGATTGCTTTAATTGTATTATAGTGCAAATAATAAAAAAAAGAAAAATCTGACGCGAAAGAGACGTAAGTTTATTGAAGTAATTCGTATTATTCGTGGTTACTATGTATTATTGAGGTTTTTAAAATGTAAATTATTTTTATAGACAAGACAGCTGCTCTAAGAATGAGACTGTATCGCCAGCGAAATAGTAAAAAAAGAGTGCGCGTAAAGTTTACATGCAATTGAAGTAAAACTAATTTGCTATCGTACAAGATGGTATTTATATAATAATAAATTATAAATTATATATTTATAATAGCATTAAAAATATGTATAATATTTAAAAACAATAATGTAATTAAAGTCATAATTCTCATATGACATGATCGGTTTGTCATTGTAATTAGCATTTAGAAATAAACATTCATTAGAGAAATGAAATAATTGCTGATTAATAAACTATATAATAATCGTTCACACAGTGGGTTATGTTAAAAAACGCCTAAATAATTCTCACTTCACTCATCATGTAATAATTGTATTTGAAGAACTTCATGTAATTAAAATTAACATACATTCAATGACTGATGATATTTTGTTTACTTTTTCGCTGGCGATATAATCTCATAGTTTGAACAGCTGTAATATCTGTCTTGCCTAAAAAGGATTTTCCATTTTAATAACTTCAGAGATTTATAGAAGCTACGAATAGTATAGAAATAATTTCTAATCAATAAACTTACGTTTAGTACACGACACAGATGTTTATGTCGGTACGCATACAACGACAGATCTTTATTCACATACGCGACCACTATTCACAATCAACCCGTATAGGAATGATATTATTGGCACTCGACTCTTATCTTATCTTATCCGCAGTAACGCACTTCCGTTGAATTTGTACGGATTTACACCCTAGTCGCGCCTAAAAAAGTTTCACTTCAAAAATAAGCAGTCAATGAATGTATGTTAATTTCAATTACATGAAGCTCTTCAAACACAATTACATGATAAGTGAAATTGTAAAAACAATATTTCTTTGGGCGTCGTTTAACATAATGTTTCTCTGCATTTTTATAAAATCTATTGCTTTAATATTTTTAATATCTATAATATAGGAAATTGTGAAAATAATATTTCTTTGGGCGTCGTTTAACATAATGTTTCTCTGCATTTTTATAGAATCTATTGCTTTAATATTTTTAATATCTATAATATAGATATTAAAAATATTAAAGCAATATAGCTTTATTCTATCCTGCCGAAGATATCTTTTTCAGAATTATATCTCAGACAATTTTGAAAGTTTAGAGAAAGACTACATGTTTTTCGATCATTATGGCTATTAAGTATTAAAAAGTTGCATATTTTTATAAATAATGAAGAATAAATTGATATTCAGATTTATTATTCTAAATAAGTGATCAAGCACAACAATAGTTTGTGTAGCTGTGTATCATTTATATACATATATACTTCATAATGGACATTTATGCAGTTTATTTATTGATAGTGTTAATAAAATTATTCAAGATTGTTATAAGTTCACTGTGTGATCAAATATTATAAAATTTATTAATTAGCAACGACTTCATTTCTCTAATAAAGGTTCAAGTCTTAAATGCTAATTACAATAACAAACCGATCATGTCTAAACTATGATTTTAATTACATTATTACCTTCAAATATTATATATATATATATATATATATATATTTAATGGTATTATAAATATATAATTTATAATTTTTACTATAGAAATGTGAATAGGGGGAAGCCCCGTAGCGCCGGACGGCACCAAGTACCGGACACTCTATTTAACACGTATTATTTAAGCGAGTATAAATCTGGTATGCAAAGATAAAAGTTGTACTTGATTGTTATCCGTAAAATGGTAGAATATTATTAGATTTTTTAACCAATTTTAGTAGGAGCCATCAAATGAACGAAAATGTCTGTCCCTTAGCACCGGACACTAAGTCGTCTCTTAGTGCGGGACAGTAAACATACTGATATTTCTTATGAGAATTTACGTAATTTATTCCAATTATTTAATTTTGTTCTGTATGAGTTCTAACGGTCACTACATACCACCAGTTTTAGTATTTCATAGTTAAAGAATGAAAAGCTTATGCTGAATGCACCAGCTGAGAGCATCGGTGTGGTCCAGCCAAAAGGGGGGATAAATAGTGACTTTTTTTTTGCAATATCTAAGAATAATCGTCAAAAACACATGTGCAGACATTCCAGAGTGTAAAGATGGCTACATATGTGATCAATGCAGGTTATTTTGAAATGTCCGGTACTAGGTGCCACTGTTTAAAATCATCAATCAATTTTTTGATACCAAAGTTTGATTGACAGTATTGATTATTTTTTAGCAAAGATTGCGGTTTTGTTAATTTAGATTGATTTCTAACTTTGTTATCTAACATAAATCATAATTTAATAAACATTTTGTAGAATATTTTTTGATTTACCTATGAATAACCTTAGGTGTCCGCCACTAGGAGACTTACCCCTAATGGTTGTCATTAAAAAATATATGCATCAGGAGTGCTACAATATTACTAATAAACATTATTCAAAATTGTTATATGATGTATACCTTTCAATGCCATTTCGTATAAGAGCATAAAAGTTTTACTTCAAACGCGTGTGAACCTTACGCGCAATCTTTTTTTATTGATGTAACTTCCGATCTTTCAACTTAATTCTTTGACTTTGATAATATCGATTAATATTTTAATATTTCTATTATACATTGCGTTACAAAAGTAGAATATTAGATGTTGTTATCTTCTCGACTTTCATTTGTGTACTTCATATTTACATTCATAAATAATTGTTATGCTCATTATTCTCCAACTTATTAAATATCATGTATTGTATAATACGTTTTATATTAAAAATATCATTGTCTGTTACATATTATGCAATATAGTCAACAAAGTAATAAAATTAACGTTATTCATTAAAAATATATATGAACTTTGAATCTTTGTTAATGAATATTAAATAAGACAAGTTGTATCATGCATGTCAAGATCTAAAACATCAAAGGAACGTTGCCTCGTTATCTAGGTAAAATTAAATTTAATTATTTTGGAGCAGTCATTCTTGAAAACATTTTGAAATGTGTAAGGAATTTATAACGTTAATGGTAGAAAGTTACATTTATTTAGTTTTCAATTTTGAGTAGATCTATTACATGTAATTACACTTATATAATTCTCAAAAAAGCTAGTGGTGCATGGCATCGTGCCTTAAGGCAAATTGCTGGAACTTTTCGTACCAGAATTATATATTCGAGGGAAAAAAAAACAGTCAAATCATTGATTGATGATCAATGATTTACAATAATTGTTTTATACATTTTCAAATAGATAATTATATAATCATTATATATTTTACCTTTCATAAAATATACAGTGACAACCTTATCGTCCAAAACACTTGATGAAGTTTACATTAGCAAGAGGTGTCTAAAGAATCCATCTGAGGATATATTTTTTAAAAAATTTTAAAATTTATATTTGAAGTATAAAACTTTGCAGATTCTTAAAAAATTTGAAAATATTTTTTTTTGTATAAGTAAACTTTAAAAATTTACAATCTTGGTACGGAATTCAACAAAATTGTAACAAAATTAGTATTCATTTTGAAAATTTCTATCGATTTTTTTTTACTTTTTCTTCTGTATCTCCAAAAACGCTAGATTTTGCCTTACCCAAATATTTCACCATATCTTCATTTTGTTATTACAAGTATTACGTTTTTCGAATCATTTAAATCGGGTACTCCATTCTCTTAAAAACTGATCAGTTCAATTCGAATTAGCATTTTTGGCACTTTTTGCCCCGTTTATTCGAAACGGCTGGACCTGTCTTCGCCAAAAACTAATCCGCACGTCTTTTTATCAATATGAATCGACTGTTTTTTGAATAATTCAAATTGGTTGATTCGTGCGCCCGAAATCGTGGACGAAAAATTGTATCCAAACTTATCACTTTTTTCTAAGGTATGCCGAAGTTTTCAGAAA